CTGATACTTAAAGAAGGAAACAGCCCTTTCAGCTGTGTCAGCTCGCTGAGGTCCTCTTTAAATGCAAATAGTACTAAGGGCACAGGCCAGGGTAGGCTTTAGCCCCAGCTCTACTGCTTACTAGCTGTACGACTCACTAAACTACTTAGTCTCTTTACACGCTTCAATTTCCCCATCTGTAAAATGGGGATAGTAACAGTATTCACGTTTTGGTTGTATGAGGATTCGATGAGAGTGTGCACGTAAAAGGCGCAGCACTGCATCCAGCACACGAACTGAGGAGTCAAGCAGGAGGCCAGAGCCCAGTGAGAATCAGACACTTAAACCATCTCAGCATAGAGATGGCTAAAGACCAAGACCTTCAAATGCATGGATAGTTCTTTTTTGTTGTTGCTGTTGTACTTTAAGTGAAAGTTTACCATTCAAGTTAGTCTCTCATACAAAAATTTATACATACATTGTTATGTGACCCTAGTTGCTCTCCCTATACTGTGACAGCACACTTCTTTCCACCCATTTCCTGTGTCCATTCAACAAGCTCCTGACCCTCTCTGCCTTCTCATCTCACCTCTTGGCAGGAACTGCCCATTTGGTCTTATGTATCTACTTGAGCTAAGAAACACACTCTTCACGAGTATCATTTTATGTCCCATAGTCCAGTCTAATGTTTGTCTGAAGAGTTGGCCTTGGGAATGGTTTTAGTTTTGGGCTAACAGAGAGTCTGGGAGCCATGTATTCCGGGGTGCTTGGATAGTTCTTAACCAAATTATTATAATATGGGCCCAGGCAATAATCTTGTCTTCAACTATGTTTACCAGTTTAATTACTTTATGCCTCTTTGGTCAGTCTTGAGAAATCAAGGAGTTCCTTTTCACTGGGGAATGACTTACTGGTTAATGAAGTTGGAATATTAGATAGTTGATTTAGTTTTCCTCCACAGAAGCTATTTTTGGTGATGGAATGTGGGTGGAATTGTTTGTTCTTTTAATGCTCTAGGTTGTGCTTGAATGGTAAGGAGGCTGAAGGGAACAGACATGTTGGCTGCCTACTATGTACCAGGCACGTGCTGGGTGCGCTAATACAGTGCTTCACAAACTATCAATTTTATTTTTATTTCCAGTCGGCCATGGACCAATGTCTTTGTCACTGCATTTGGATTTGCAGCAATCTCAGAATAAATATTTCTAAGGGCTCCTCTCGATTCCTGTATATGTCGCATCACAGATTAGGAACAGTTCATTGACTGTACTCTGAGCACACTTTGTCTCCCTTATTCCTGAGAGCCAGCTCTGCCCAGCTTTAGGCACAAGCATCTGGACAGGGAGAAGAACAGGAACAAAACAGCCTTCACCTCCAGGGAACTGAACAACGCCATGAAGGGATGTAGCCAGATTATTGTTTTATGAGGATAAAGCAAGTTAAAGGAAAAATATTCATTTTAGAATGATGGATGGATGTTGATTAATTGTGAAGGGCAGAGAAAATGAACGTTTCAACATCAAGGTTAAACACTAATTAGGGTACCATGAAGATATTTCTGGAGTTTTTGCTCTTTGAGGGAATGTGCTATACCCTAGGTCCAAAGAATTGCTTTAAATCTGTTTTTTTTTTTTTAATAATTTATTTATTGAGAATATACACAGCAGAGCAGACACCAATTTAACAGTTTCTATAGGTACAATTTAGTGACATTGATTACATTCTTCCAGTTGTGCAACCATTTTCACCCTCCTCCTCACCCTCCCTCATTTACATAAACACACTGCCCCCTAAGCTTTCTATCTAATCTTTCAAGTTGCTGTTGTCAGTTTGATCCCATATAGATCTTAAAAGAGCACAATGCTCAAGGCAGACATTGTTTACTAGTTAAGCTAAGAATCTGTTCATTGTTAAAATTAGGATAATTCTGTGTCTGTAACACAACACAGTCAAGTGCCCCCTCCTTGCCATGTCCTGTCCACTTTCCTGTGAAGGCTTTTGGGTGAGAATGAGTTTGTATAATGAGGTGGCAAGAACACGGGAAGCTCACGTGGTCCCGACCGAGCATTGTGTCTCCTTTTCTGGTCGTCTTTGCCACCAGCTGACAGAGCCAGATGCTTCTACCTGAGCGGTTTAAAGGGCTTGATAGTCATTAATGAGCAGCTGGATTAAACCGGGGATTACCCCAAGGAGGACCCACAGGCTACTTAACCCCCTAATACCTGAGCTAGACATAGCAGTCAGAGGCTCCTGAGACTGAAAACAGAACTAAAACACCTTCAGCCAAACGGAAGACCAGGTAGAAGGGAGCAGCACAGAGAAAACCTCCCAGCTCTGTCTTAATTATGTTGCGGCAACAAAACAAAGCCCAAACCAGATAAACCACTTCAGTTTCATAGCAGGGAAGAAAATGCAGGCATCTCTGCCAAGTCTTAACGAAAGGCAGTGCTTTTGTCTGCAAAAGGCCAAGAGGCACAAAGCAAACATTTTTCTCCTAAAAGCAGCAGGAGCAGTAAATAATACCACAGATAGGATTTTAACATTTTCTGTAGGAAATCCTAGAAATACTAACAGATGAGAGAAACTAGGATTATGGGTGTGGGGGATATTTCTCTTTTAAAATCCCATGACAGGGAATTTAAGGAGTTGGAGGAAATTATATGCATATGCACAGTATTGATAGCCAATTCAGAAGTCTGTTAGAGTGGCTGCTAAAGCTGGCAGTGTTCCCAAAACCAGATTTATACAAAGAACAGTAATTACTGGGAAAAATATGCTTAAATCTGTTGTAGGGGAAAAACATCATAGAGTCTAGTAGAGCAAAAAGAAAGTTTTATTTGGCATATATTCAAAAGGGCAGAAGTGGGAAGCGGACAACCATGCTGCCAGAGCCATGTCTGCC